TGAGTCCCTACTATGTATAAGGAACTGTCCTGGTTATTATAGGAAATATAAAATACTTTTACAAGAGTTCTAGCTACTTGGAAACGAAGTCATACGCATATGAAAAGTTACAGGAAAATTCTAGGATAGTCAGAAGGCTGCTGCAATAGTCTAGGGGAAAAGTGATGAAGGCCCAGAGGAGGATAGTAAACCGGGGAGGCCGAAGGGGCCTCTGAGAGACACCCAAGAACTGGATTAATCTTAGGAAATAAGTGCATTTGGTGTATGAGAGGTGAGTCAGAGTTGACTCAGTTCTAACTTGGGGTAGATGGTGATGATACTAAGATAGAGAATACAGGAAGAAGAAAAAGCCTAGGTAGAGAAAATTAACACTGTTTTTACTTTGTTGTTTTTACTTTTGTTTTTTAATATGGGGATTTGGGGGACTTTTTCTATATGGGTACTTCAGAGGAAGTTGTGGATCAACTATCTAAAGCAACTTAGCAGTTTTTACTGATCTATAAATCATTGCCATATAGATGATTATTGAATCAATGGATATAAATGAAATGGATATAAGTGAAAGCACAGACAGTAGAGAGAGAGAATTGAATCTAGTGGTGACTGCATTAGGTGTTCACAGCAGGAATAAGAACAGTGAGGTGGAAAAAAGAAAAACGTGGGATAGGAAACTTGTGACTCCAAAGAAAAAGATAGTTTTAAGAAAGAGGGCTTAGTAATTTCTGTCTGCTGTTGGGCTGATGAGAAGATGAGAACAGAAAAAATACTGGTGCTTTTTTTTTGTTGAGCAATTAGGTCATTTGTACCTTTGAGAAGTAAGAAAGGAGCAGAGGAGAAAGCAATATTATATGCTAACAAGAAGGCATTGAGGGTTAAAAAATGGATTTAGAAGTATAGACCAATCATCCAAACAAGAAAGAAGAGAAATTGGATGGTCACTACAACAAGGTAAGAAATGTATTTTTCAAGGTAGAGGAGAACCTTCCAGTAAGGGATGATCAAGAATCATACAGTAGGGGCCAGCCCGGTGGCGCAGTGGTTAATTTCTCACGTTCCACTTCTCAGCGGCCCAGGGTTCGCCAGTTCAGATCCCGGGTGAGGACATGACACTGCTTGGCAAAAGCTATGCTGTAGTAGGCATCCCACGTATAAAGCAGAGGAAGATGGGTATGGATGTTAGCTCAGGGCCAGTCTTCCTCAGCAAAAAGAGGAGGATTGACAGTAGTTAGCTCAGGGCTAATCTCCCTCAAAAAAAAAAAAGAATCATACAGTATCTCTTAAGACCAGTCTAAACCATAGATTTCTTCAACCTCTCCCCCTCCTTCCAAACTCTCTCATATATACTTTCATCCCCTACCAGAGCCACACTTGTCTAGTGAAGGCAAGACAAAGTTTACCAGGTAAAGTTTATGCTGACACACCTGTCACAGGACATCAGGATGGCCAGACTGCCATCTAGGCTTCCGTAGGATTCATCTTCATGAACACATAGAAAGATCTGTCCCTGTTAACCTAAGGACAGAAGTGTATACTAGGATGCAAATTCTTCTCGACTGAGTAGGAAAGGCACACTCCAGTTCTAGTGCGGGAGCTGCTTCCCTCTTGGAATGCTGTTGAAGAGAGCTGATGCTAAACTCTATATGCAGACCATACAATCCCAGGCTAATCTCTGAGCAAGAATATGGGGGGCAGAAACCAGTAAGCAGGAGAAGCATGAAGGTTCAGTTCTTAGTCATCTTTGTGTACATGGAACCTAACACAATATCTAGCAGGGAGCTTCAATTACTGTTTGTTAGAGTGAACAGAATTTTCAAAACGTTTATCTGGTCTAAAACTACTCTATCAAACAACATGTTATGGTGACAAGTGGATAAGACTAGGAGATGTAGGTTAGGCTTTCAGGTCTGCTCTGGAACTTTTCGATAAGTCTTTCATCTTTCTAATAGTTCTCTGAATTGTATTTCCATTCTGCCAACTTCACAGATTTTTAGAGCGGAACACATGAAAAAATGCATTTGAAAGTGCTTGGTGTATTTTTAAATAATATACAAATAGCAAGGCATTTTTTATTACTGCTATTAATACATCATTAAGGTGATCAGATCTTAACAGAAAATATGCATTTTTTTCTCTAAATGGGCTTTACTACAAGTGTTATTTTATTCTTTTGTACCCCCGTTTACCTAATCCCTGCTTGAAATCTGCTAAAACTATTTGCCTAGTTATCAGAGTGGCCCTAATTTGGATTACAGAGACTAATAGCATTGGAAAATTGCCCTGAAAGGAGTCACCCATGTACTATGATAGATCATAAATATGGATGACTAGAAAGTAAGATGCTTCGCTTAAGATGCAAATTAGCAGAGAATGAGATGCAGTGAGTTGTGCACCAGAGTTTCAAATCCTGATGGAGAAGTCCCTGCAGGGTCACCAGACAAAAAGCAGGTTTCTGCTGTCAATCCCCAGCGAGGCTGTAGACACTCCCTTGGCCTGTCATGCAACACTAATTGAACAGGATACTAACAGGAGAGAAAGCGTGCCAGCCACATCCTTGAGTGCAGAGCCGCCAAGTCAGTCTGGGGAGGCGCTTCTTGCAAGAAGCACAGGGACACAGAACTACAACCCAGAAATGCACAGCCAGGCCAATCCTAGCGAGGGAGTGGCTGAGGAAATGAGGAAGGCAGAAAGGGAGAAACGGAAGCTTTGCAGGGAATGCAAATAGTCATAATGGGGATAAATAGATCTCAGGGGAAACACAGCGCTCTGCAATCCAAACTCTCCTCCCTGCTCTCCCACAACTTTTGCAAAGTGTATCCCCCAAGTCCCCCATCCTGCCACCCTCCCTCTCCCCCCAGAGAAGATTCAGATGATGAGATTCCTGGTGTAATATATTTCAGACAACAGGGGTTCGGAGTACATCTACTCATGCAGACATGATAACAGTGTACGAATATGCGATCTTCAGCACAGCCAATAGCAGAGAGAGGGAGAGAATTTAAAAGTCAAAGAGAAGGAAGGAGATCACTATGTAAAATAAAACTACAAAGTGTCTGCTATAAAAGTCCTCAATAGAGGTAAAATGTGACCAGAAGCATAGTTTTCATTTCACATGTACTCAAATTGCCTTCTTTTTATTGATCTGTTCGTCTTCACACCCTCTCTCCACTGCCTGTGTTATAGGTCTCTTCTCTGAACCAATGCTACAATGCAAACAGGCCAAGTTCTTTGAAATGTGGCAGTAAGCAGGAGAAGAGAAGGCCGAGAAAAACAGGAAATACGAGAAAATAAAAATGAGAACAGAAGGTAAAAAGGAATGAGGGACAATAAAAGAACCAGGATTTCCTTGTGGTGCCTCCAATCTCCTACACACCCTCCACAAATGCTAAAACACATGTAGGGCCCCGTTAATCAGGACTCCAGCCAAGGGACCGCCAGGCTGAGTAACAGGCATCTCTCAAGTCTGTCAGCTGACATCATCTGTTAAACAGAACTGCAAATTTCTCCCAAGCATTGATAATTTGATCCTTCGATCACTGATACTTTCTGCTTCTAGTCACAAGATGACGTCCCCAAAGGAACTGCTTCTCTCAGCACCCAGGAACCTGGGATAAAAAAAAGCCAGGAAAGGAAGATAAACAAGAACACATTCAGAGCTTTCATTCACTTTCATCAGGATTCACAAACATCTTGAGAATCCTTTTAATAAAGGAGAAAATCAGGATCAAGAAAATTTTTAATTTGCCCAAATCATGTTTAACACAAATAGAGTCAAAGTACTTCAAATACCACAGCCAAATAATTCTCTTAAATACATGAATGGCTACGTCAAGTGATATTTATCCATTAAGAGACCTTTATTGAGCCTCAACTATACTGAGCATCAGTAAATCAGTATGGCCATCAAGGATACCATCTTTAACAGCTATAATCCAGGGGCTTGGTGGGGGGTGGGCCACATTAAATCAAGATGCCTGCTGCAACATCACATGCAAGGTAACTCCGAGTCCATAACCAGCATGGGAACAAATTCCAGATCACGTAGCAAAATAACCTGAGTGTGATCCCCATGGAAGGAGCTACCAACAACAGCTACGGAGCATACATCAAAGGGGGACAAGCGGTAATAATAATCACTCACATTTAGTGAGCTCTTACTATCTGTCAAGCACTGAGTATTATCTCATTCAATCCTTACCATAATATCATGAGATAAGTATTATAACTAGGAAACTGAGCTCAAAGAGATGGAGGAATTTGCTTAAGGCCACACAGTGAATAACTGGTGGGATCAGGCAGGTTTTGAACCCAGGTACTTGATACCAGAGCCTCTACTGACCCCTGTGCTAGACAGCCACAGGCTCATCCTCCAACCTTGCCCCTCATTGATTGATCCTTCTATGAATCTCCACCATCTACTCTTCTACATGGTTCTTTCATTCTCTCTCCTATCTTTCCTTCTCTGAGACTACTTTTGTCTCCACAAATCCCTCCTTTTCAACTTTTTTCTCTCCCTCTCTCTCCCCTCCTCTTTCTCTCTCTTTCTCTCAAACTAAATATGGATTTCAAATAAGTTCTTTAAAAGGTGACTCTATTTTATAAGTCCTGTTCTTAATTTAAAGTGTCCTGGCAGTACGGGGGAAGGAGGTACACTTATATATATCTATGACTCTTCCCCCACAAAAAAAATATCAAAACTAAGTAGCTTTTTACTTCTATGTGGCCCTTGAATGATCTGCTTCATGAATCAAGGCTTATTGGTACGTCAAAAGGTTTCACACTACCCACCACTGCTTCTGCGGACTGAATTGTGTCCTTCCCAAAAATTGTATGTTGAAGCACTAACCCCATGTGACTATATTGGAGGTGATTACGGTTCAATGATGTCATAAGGGTGGAGGCCCGATCCAATAGAATCGGAATCCTTATAAAAGAGGAAGAGACACCAGAGATCTCTCTTTCTCCACCATGTGAGGACACATGGAGAAGGTGGCCGTGTGCAAGCCAAGAAGAGAGCCATCACCAGGAACCAAATCAGCTGGCCTCCTTTTTTTTAAAATTGAGGTATAATTGAGATATATTAATTTCAGGTGTACAGCATAATGATTTGATATTTATATATATTGTAAAATGGTCACCACAATAATTCTAGTTAACATCCATCCCCATACATAGTTACAAAACTTCATTCTTGTGACGAGAACTTTTAAGATCTACCCTCTTAGCAACTTTCAAATATGTGATACAGTATTATTAACTACAGTCACCCTGCTGTACGTTACATTCCCATGACTTACTTATTTTGTAACTGGAGATTTGTACCTTTTGACCCGCTTCACTCATTTCACCCACCCTCTGGTAACCACCAATCTGCTGTCTGTATCTATGAGCTCTGTTTTTTTCATTTTTCTTTTTTAGATTTCACATATAAGTGAGTCATACAGTATTTGTCTTTCTCTGACTTATTTCACTTAGCATGATGTCCTTGAGGTCTATCCATGTTGTCACAAATGGCAAGAATTCATTCTTTTTATGGCTGAATAATATTCCATTGTATATATGCCACATTTTCTTTATCCATTCATCTATCTGTGGACACTTAAGTTGTTTCCATGTTTTGGTTATTGTAAATAACACTGCAGTGAACATAGGTGTGCATAAATCTTTTCAAATTAGTGTTATGTTTTCTTCAGATAAATTTCTGGATCATCTGGTAATTCAATTTTTAATTTTTTAAGGAGCCTCCATACTGTTTTCCATAATGGTTGCACTGATTTACATTCACATCAACAGTGCACAAGAGTTCCCTTTTCTCCACACCCTCACCAACATTTGTTATTTCTTGTATTTTTGATAATAACCTTTCTAGCAGGTGTGAGGTGATATGTCATTGTGGCTTTGATTTGCATTTCCCTGACGATTAGTGATGTTGAGCACTTGTCACGTACCTGTTGGCCATTTGTATGTCTTTTTGGGAAAAATGTCTATTCAGATCCTCTGCCATTTTTCAATCTGATTATTTGGTTTTTCACTAATGAGTTGTATGAGTTCTTTATATATTTTGGATATTAGCCCCTTATCAGATATATGATTTGCAAATATTTTCTCCCATTCAATAGATTGCCTTTTCATTTTGTTGATGGTTTCCTTTGCTGTGCAGAAGCTTTTTAATTTGATGTAGTCCCACTTGTTTATTGTTGCTTTTCTTGCCTTGTTTTTGGTGTCAAATCCAAAAAATCATTGCCAAGACTGATATCAAGGAGTCGATCTCCAGGTTTTCTTCTAGGAGTTTTATGGTTTCAGGTCTTACATTCAAGTCTTTAACCCATTTTAAGTTAATTTTTATGTATGGTGTGAGATAGTGATCCAGTTTTCCCAAGACCATTTGTTGAAGAGACTGTTCTTTCCCCCATTGTATATTCTTGGCTCCTTTGTTGTAAACTAATTGACTATACATAAATTAATATGCATGAGTTTGTTTCTGGGCTCTCTATTCCGTTTCATTGATCTATATCTCTGTTTTTATGCCAGTACCATACTGTTTTGATTACTACACTTTTGGAATATAGTTTGAAATCAGGAGCATTATGCCTCAAGCTTTGTTCTTCCTTCTCAAGATTGCTTTGGCTATTCAAGGTCTTTGGTGGTTCCATACAAATTCTAGAATTGTTTGTTCTATTTCTGTGAAAAACATCATTGGAATTTTGATGCATTGAATCTGTAGATTGCTTTGGGTAGTATGGAGCAGGCACCTTGATCTTGGACTTCCCAGCCTCCAGAACTTTGAGAAATGAATTTCTGTTTTTTTTGTTTTGTTTTGTTTTGTTTTTTTAAGATTTTATTTTTTCCTTTTTCTCCCCAAAGCCCCCGGGTACATAGCTGTATATTCTTCGTTGTGGGTCCTTCTAGTTGTGGCATGTGGGACACTGCCTCAGCGTGGTTTGACGAGCAGTGCCATGTCCGCGCCCAGGATTCGAACCAACGAAACACTGGGCCGCCTGCAGCGGAGCGCGCAAACTTAACCACTCGGCCACGGGACCAGCCCCTGAATTTCTGTTTTTTAAGGCACCCAGTCTATGGTATTTGTTATGGCAGCCCAAGCTGACTAATACAATTGTTCTTAAAAATATAGCTTTTCTTAATGTGAAAATTTCATGCTTTAAAATGTTAGCAGTATGATTTCAAGTTGAGCGTTCACATCATTATTGAACAGTTTTGAACTTACTAGGCCTTAGTTAGCATGTTTCCTGGACCAAAAAGAAACATATTTCTGAAATGCTAATATTTAAAACATCCATTATTTAAATCACATCCAAGATTTACCTGACCATTTAGGATAGAAAACCATTTTCTGAAAAACTAAGAAATTTTGACAGATCTACTCTGGATCCTTCCTATGAAAAACATGAAGAAAGGAGAGAGAAGTCCCTAGATTTAATTACATGTGGGTTTGAAATTTGGTGACATTTTTTTCTCTGAGTTATTTTATTCAATATCCAATAGATGACCCTGCTACCAATTCCATCCACACCTGATAAAAGAAAAGTAAGCCACTCATCCAGCTATCAGGTCCAGAGACTAGGAATAATCTAACACGAGAACAACACTCTTTTTCAAAGTCTCTGTGTTTTCCATGCTAACAGCAGTGTGAATGCTTCACTCACTGAAGCTGTTGAAACATCAAACAGCTTTAGGAAAATATCAGTGGTTTTAATTATTTCTCCATTGGGACTCTTTGGCTTCATTGAAGACGGTATATGAGTTGTTTGCTGGCCGAATGGCAAAATAAAAACGATACAGAGAACACCTCCACCAACATCTCCTTCTGGGTTTCATGAAACTTGAACAAAATACGTTTTGATGGCCTGTTGGATGACCTCTGAGAGGTGGAAAGCTACTGTGAATCCCCACCTCTTCTTCCTGTGAGATAAGCTGAGAAATTCGAGAAGAGGAGGGCTTATATCTGAACCCGACTACAGACATGCTTTTTCTGATTCAGCCATAGATTTGCTTGGAAACCTGTACGTCATGGCCTTGGCGGGCCCCCAGGCTTCCTCCTATGCAGTCTGCTATTTTTCCTCTAGCTTACCCAAAATAGCAGGGCAGAGATTTAGTACAGTTGGTATGCTGGTGTTTATAGGCCAAAGTGTTGTCAAGTTTTTTCTGTGGGCAAGCAGGGGTTTTTGAAGACTAGGAAGAACAAAAGGAAAAGTGGTTCCAGCCTTCTGCTTTTGTTTCCTGGAAGAGTTAGAGATCCACTTTCCCTCCTCCAGAGAATCCCAGTATTAGAATGCCTGTGCCGTGTTTAACCTCCCCTTCTATCTTCCTTCATTCTCTGAAAAATCCTTTATCCCATTCTGAAACCCAAGTGCTTGGAATTAGAGTATATCGTTGGTAATATATTTAAGCATACTTATGGCTAGGATTCTGCACAGTCAAAACAAGTATATAAATTTCTTTCTGGAGAATTTTCTGGTATATTATTTCTAGATAGTCTATTTTAAAATGCAAAGTCAAATATTTGTGAGGGGAAATGCAAGGGATAAAGAAAACACATCCCACCCTGAGGAGAAAAGAAGAAATAGATTTGCTGACTTTTAACTATTTTGTCTAGAAGCCTCGTTTCTTGCCTCATACAATATTTGCACCTTTATTTCCCAGTTTTGTAAAATGGGAGACCTCTATATTTCCCTTCAAGCTCCTCTTTGCTCAATGTAGCCCAATAAAATAAGAAGATGGTTCAGGTCTTTCCCATTTGTTATATTGTCCCCGTTAAGCTGCTACTGTCCTTACAATCACACCATTGCTGTTCCATCAGGCCATGCCATAGAATAAGATGCAAGCTGATGATTTGATCCTGGTTTCACCTTTTGAGCACCCAATTACAGATCAAGCGTAGGTCTCTGACATGGAGAAAAAAAGGCAGGAACAAAATTACAGGAAATTTTCCCCACTCAGAATCGCTGACCTCTTCCTGCAGCCACAAGAAGAGTCACTCCATAGTGCTCTGCTGCTATTTCTCCTGGCCAAGGCCAAGTACTTAGATGCCCTAAGTACTCCACAGGTCCCCTGTGCCCAACTCCAATACCTCATTAGAAACAAAACCAAGACCAACCCATGAATGATTGCTTCATAGTTTTCAAAATTACACCAAATTCATAGGTATGCATAAGTGAAATTAAATTCTGTCTAGATCTGCTAATATGTGCATGTACGTGCCTGTGTTTGCTTTGCTGGGATCTTGAGCACTGAGGTCTTGAGCATCAGTGTGTAATCCAGCCCTGCCCGGGGCTCCTAGATTGGGTGCTTGTCCTCTGACTTTACTTTCGTATGAAATGGCTGATCCAATCTGACATGGCTCGTCCCCGTGGAGACTGTCCCAGGGAAACTGTGAGAAAAACATCAGGGAGGATCAAATACCAATGTTTTGTCCAGGTGCCAATGTGGCAGCTCCCTAATAATAGGATGCAGGCACCAGGAACACTAGGTGTTTACATTTATTTAAAAAACTTCAGCTCTCAAAGAGAGCTCCCCTTGGCAAAGTAAACAAACATTTGTACTGAAACTTTCATCTCCAGCACTTTTTAACCATTACGTCATTAATCTTCAAAGCAGCTAGATAAGGCAGGTAGAACAATTTGCTCTGCAGTTTTAAATGTCCCACTTCATACGAGCAGGAGAGTGTGCAGTGACAGCACTACGAAGCCTGGCTCCCGACAAACAGGCTACCAGTGAGAGGAGGAGCCACCCTGTGAGCTCCCTCTGCCTGAGGCTCCCTGTCCATTCCCATCTCCCCAGTGCCCTTAGTTATCTCTTCAGGGTTGCATCCCATCTGCTGGAGCTTTCCATCATTCTTTGTCCCTCAGCCCCCATCCTTGCTCATCCCCCAAACTTGCTCATCTTCCTAGAATCCCGTCTTTGCCTATATGATGAGCAACACTGAGTTAATCCAAGAAATGACTTTGTGTTACACAGTCAATATACTCTGCCTGCCATGCTTCTATTTATATTTTGACAGAGATCCTGTGAACGTTATGTCTTAATAGAAGTATAATGAAAGGAATAATACTTTAAGCAGGAGGATCTGGTGAATGTCCCTTAAATGACATTAGACCACTGTAGGCTTTACCTAATTGCTGGGTCTATCCAATGAAGAAGGTAAACTGGGTAGATTGGAATGAAGCTTAACCACTTCTCACTCTTATTTATCATCTAAAACAATTTACATGTGTGTGTGCATGTTTGTGGGGGGGGGTGTCCCTTTAATTTAAGACTAATACTTCCTTGATTTCTATTTCTGCACTCTTTCATCAATATATAGGTCTTCTGTGTTTTCCTTTACTTTTAGATTTTAGATATGTTATTTATTATTTAGTAAAGGGATAACTGATGCTCTGTACTTCCATCTTTAAGAAAACTGACTAATACACAGCAGTTCTGGGAGGATTAAAGGCATCAGAAATATTATTATATTCTTCCTATAACCATAGAAATATTAGCTTCCAGAGGCAAAAGAGAGTTACCCAATACCATTTACTCTGTGTGTGTGACTTCCTTCCTATTCTAAGTGAGCACTAATTCAGCACCATCAATTCTTTTTCATACTTACTAAGATTTCTCCTTAAAGTACAATTCAGTTTTAAGCAACTGACCAGACAATACGGCTTGTCAAAGGCAGAACTTGTCTCCTAGTGTATTGAGAACACTTGTGCTATCTAAATCCTTACTTAGATTATATCTCAGAAATTACATTAGCAGCTAACATTTAATCTACATAACGACAGTCTGTTGACACCCCAAGTCTCTCTATGCAATTTGCATGCAAAGGTACCATCTAATCTAAGAGGATTCCTCCAGGGAGAGTTTGAGAGAAGGCAAATCTTACATTAACCTGAGAAAAAAAATCAAGTCCCCACCAGGAGTAGACATCTGGGAAGAGTGAAACATAGGATGAAAAGTAGCTTCTGAATAGTTTCTCTACTGTTTAAAATCGTACATCTAACATTTTATCTAAGATGAAATTCTAAATCGAATTCCATGTTTAATTCATATGGATACAAATGTCTCCAGTGCCCAACACAGTGCCTGACACATAAAGATGCCCAGCAATGTTTTGCTGGGAAAAAAAAAATGAATAGAAAAATACTCAAATGCCAAATATTTTTTGGACTATCCTTGATTTTATATTACCTAAACCCCAGCTTTCTTCCATTAGAGGAAATCATCAGCAGTTGGCAATAGTTTAATTATATTTTAAGAGATATACAAAAAAATAAATCTATGCTCATAAAACATGAGCCAAAAAACATCTAACTGCCTAAGTATGGCCATTCTTGACTGCCCCCCATTTCCTTCTTAAGCACCACTTAAACGTTCCCCTATTGCCAATTCCAGATATGTGTCTCAAATAAGTAATAAGATAATTAGTCCCAAAGTATACACACTCAACAGGCCAATTATTAAAATAATATCAGCCTTGGGAAAAAATAATGCATTGTATAAAGAAATCCTGAAGATCCAGTGGAGAATGAAATAAGCCAGCTGCAGGGCAGGACAAATCTGAATCAGACAAGTCTGTGCTGTGGTCTGTCTCCAGGATTCCACCTGAGCATGCAAATTTCTGACAGAGCAGGGATTGTCGTGGAGATCAGGAGATCTGGGATCCAGCTGAAATGGAAAACTAAGTAGGTATGTAAGCCTCAGCATGTGACAGCCTCCAGTCTGAGTTTTTGTTTTATTCTGTTTTGTTGCACACCATAGACACTGAACAAATATTAAACCCAACTTTCCTCATCTATAATAATGATCATCTCAAAAGTCCCTTCCAGGACTAGCATGCAGTGATTCTAAGATTTAAGGTTTCGCTAACATGGAATCAGAGACTAACTACAATTAGAAGAGGAAAAAAAATGAGGAAACTGCTGCTTTACAAAATTTATCACCAACCATCTCTAAACATTGGATCCATACCAGAATCAAAATAGGGCTTCCCATTTTCTCTAATGTTTAAATGCCTTATGTCCAGATCGCAGTATTTCACCCTGAAAATTAGAATATTTTGAATTTTAAGAAATTATATGGGCTTGGTTTCTTATCCTTACTTGAGGTGGATCCTTATATTAGAACCAGTTTTGGAAGCTCTGCCATAGTCTAGCAATCAATAGGATAGGTTGGGCTAGATTGTGTCCATAACCTTAGTTCTCTTATATCCCAGGTACATTTCTAGACCAGCAGCCCTAAAGTAATCCAAATTAAGACCTTCGAGTAGCCCAGCTGAATCAGGTGAACAAGACTGACTAGGACCTGCCACCATCTAGAACCGTTTAGACCTGCCCGTTCAATAACTATTTCTTCTCCTCTATGCCTGTTATTATAGCAGGCAATGAGGATTCAGAGGTGAACATGACATAACTCTCCCCTCAGAGTTCATAGTCTAGCAGGGCATATAGAGAAGTGAATAGAGAAATACAGTGAGGTACATGCAAGATAGAGATAAGGACAGGATATACAATAGTACATACAAGAGGCATCTAACAGTCTTAGGAGGCAAGAGGAGACAGCATCTAAGCTGAGATCTGAAGGACCACAGGAGTAGGATGAGACCTTGGGGAACAGCAACCCATCTGCGAGTATTAGGAATATTAGGAAGTCCAAGGTTGGCCAGCACTGGTGTAGCAACAGACCGTTGAGCAGCCTGTCTCTGCCTAGGTGTGGTCCTCCACCCACCTGCAGAGTTCCACCAGGGGAGCTGCTCAATATGTGGATTTCTAGGCTCCACCCCAGCCTGACTGAATCAGAATCTCTTGGAGGTGGAGCCCAGAGTTCCGAACTGTAAAAGTTCATCAAGTGATTTTGGTGAAAGTTGAGGTTTGAAACCCTCTGCACTGGCAAGCAACCCCTTCAGGCAGGTGGTTGTCAATATCTACCCGAAGCAGAGGATGGTCACGAGTCTGTACAGAAAGACAGTCAGCAACAGAAAACCTTGAGTGGATTCCCAGTCACCAGGTTGGAGTTTTGGAACAGATGTGAGTTATGCAAGAAAGGGACTGTCGTCCTGGGCAGATTACCAAGCTAGGATTCTGCCACAGAGGAAAATGTCATCATTTGGAGACTAGAACTGGAAGACAGTAGGAACAGTTAAAAGAATGAGAAAAAAGTTTAAATGATAACTAGATACTAAGGTCAGAGATAAATGGGTAGCATAGGCGACTTAATGTTGAGGGCCATAACATTGGGCCAGGTCTGCGTCTAGGAGTCAACTGGACTCTGATGATGAAAGAAGACAGTTTCTGAGGCTGAAAAATCAGGCAGGCCATATATCCTGGGAATAGATGATATGGTGTGGTGTGCTAGGTTATGTTGTAACTTTGTATTCTAATCAAGTCATTGAATCCCTTTTGCAATATTATCATTCTCAGAACTTGTAAATATACAAGTTCTCCCTCCACACAACTCTCAATATTTCAACATTCATCTCCCTTATAACTGGATAGAATCTGTTCGTATTCCTAACCAGGCCTAACTCTCAAATTGAGGCGTTCTCTAGCAGGATTAGAGACTCACTTCTTTGATATTTGAGATCAACACAAGTTTGTGATTTTATTTGGAATCGCTGATTGATGCCAGCCTTTGTAGGGCAAAACAAACAATCAAAATCCTTTTATTCAAAGTGTGTTCTGACTTAATCTGCATTTAGAAGGTAATTAATTTCACTTGTTGTTCGTAAATGACTAGCACAGTTTCTGCAGGTCATGAGATCAGTCAAAGGAACTACGAGCAGTGCCAAACAAAAGTCCCAGCTATGTCTTGTTATATCGATGACTCCAACCCTGGTGTTCATGCTCCTGGCAAACTAGCCAGGTGGACATTCATTCACTTCCAAAACTCATGGCAGTTCTAATCAAAAGGTGTACAGCATCCTCTTCCACTAGCTTTTTTGTAGGAAAACAAATTATAATATGTGGTATGGCTCTGGAATCAAAAAGATCTGATTTAATCTCACCTTGCATTGATTAACTTGTGTGAACCTGGGCAAGTTATTTGTCTCTGAGATCCTTATCTGTAAAACGGTAGTATTAATATTACCTACTCTTCAGCCTATCGAACTGCTTTGGAGATTGAGGTCGTTATATGCAAAGCATTTAGAAGAGCACAGCATAAGTTAATTGTTATCATTCTTGTTGCTACTGTTATTCAGGCCACTCCAGCCTACAGGGACTGTGAGGTCCCTTCCACAGGAGTCACCTGTGTTCTATTGGAATGTGTCTTTCCTTGGTAATGCAAAGTGCCCCACATGTTTCCTCTGGGAACTCCCAAGAGAATGCTGCCTGTACTTAGATCAAGTATGGTCTACTGCAGTGTGGCACCCATCATGTTCTTATTCTCCTGCCCTGTGCTCTGAGCTTTCTCCAAGGTCCATGGTTTGAAGAGACCACTGTCACTTCTGCAGATAAGAATACTCATGTCTGAGCCTACAATGATGCCTTCTGGTGTTCTCTAAGGCCAGTGCACTGAAGTCCCAATGATGTCACACTTCATCACCTGGAGCGGGGCAATTGAGTACCAGCCAACCAGTTTCTTGTGAGAACAATTTTTTCGGCTAGTATGTGTAGCCCCACCCTCCACACAGTTCAACTATGGGTCCATACACTGAGCCACAGTAGTTATTTCTGAAAGAAACCTTAGACTATCCTTCATCCCCATTCCCCTTTCAAGCTTCTTTCATCGTCTTCCCCCAAACCAACATGCCAATAAACCCTAACAGTGATTTCTGGAAGACAGTAGAGTTTAGTGGTTAAAAGCAAGGGATCTGATGGGGGCTGGCCCCGTGGCCGAGTGGTTAAGTTTGCGCGCTCCGCTGCAGGCGGCCCAGTGTTTCGTTGGTTCTAATCCTGGGCGCGGACATGGCACTGATCATCGGACCACGCTGAGGCGGCGTCCCACATGCCACAACTAGAAGAACCCACAACGAAGAATATACAACTATGTACCGGGGGGCTTTGGGGAGAAAAAGGAAAAAATAAAAAAAATCTTTAAAAAAAAAAAAAAAGGCAAGGGATCTGAGTTGGACAGTTTGGATTTAAGAGGAAACAGGCCCCTCTGTGCCACACTTTTTTTTGTTTTGTTTTTAAGCAATAAAATTGATACAATAATAGAACCTAAATCACACCAACATTTGGGAATGCCTAAATGAGAAGAAGTATCTGAAGCCCTTACCATGGTACCCAGCGCATAGCACTGGCTTGGTAAATGGGGGTTATGGACATTAGCTTCACTTTTTGAAGTGATACGTTATGGACTGAATGTATCACCCCAAAATTAACATCTTGAAATCTAATCACCAAGGTGATGGCACTTGGAAGTGGGGCCTTTAGGAGATAATTCAGTCATGAAGATGGAGCTCTCACGATTGGGATTAGTTTCTTTATAAGAAGAGGCCAGACAGCATGCTCTTTATAAGAAGAGGCCAGACAGCATGCTCTTTGACATTAGTCTTAGCAGCATGTTTTCAAGTACCATGTCTGACAGGGAAAGGCAAACAAAATAAAAAATAAACAAATGGGACCACATCAAACTAAAAAGCTTCTGCACAGCAAAGGAAACCAACAAAACAAAAAGACAACCTAACAATTGGGAGAAGATATTTGCAAACCACAAATCGGATAAGGGGTTAATATCCAAAATATACAAAGAACTCATACATCTCAACAACAAAAAAACCAACAATCCAATTAAAAAATGGGCAAAAGATCTGAATAGAGATTTTTCCAAAGAAGATATACAGATGGCCAACAGGCACATGAAAACATGTTCAACATCATTAACTGTCAGGGAAATGCAAATCAAAACTACATCTTACTCCGGTCAGAATGGCTATAACTAACAAGACAGGAAACAACAAATATTGGAAAGGATGTGGAGAGAAAGGAACACTCGTATACTGCTGGTGGGAGTGTAAACTGGTACAGCCACTATGGAAAACACTATGGAGCTTCCTCCGAAAATTAAGCATAGATCTATCATATGATCCAGCTATTCCTCTGCTGGGTGTTTATCCAAAGAACATGAAAACACTAATGCATAAAGATACATGCACCCCTATGTTCGTCGCAGCCTTATTCTCAATAGCCAAGACTTGGAAGGAACCTGGTGCCCATCAAGGGACAAATGGATAAAGATGTATATATACACAATGGAATAGTACTCAGCCATAAGACATGATGAAATCTGGCCATTTGTGACAACATGGATGGAACTTGATGGTATTATGCTAAGGGAAATAAGTCAGAGGGAGAAAATCAAATACCACATGATCTCACTCATAAGTAGAAGATAAAAACAACAACAAACAAACACATAGCAACAAAGATAGGATTAGTGGTTACCAGAGGGGAAGTGGGGAGGGGAGAGGCTGGAAAGGATGATTAGGCACACATGTGTGGTGATGGCTTGTAATCAGTCTTCGGGTGGTGAACATGATGTAATCTACACAGAATTTGAAATATATTATGATGTACATCTGAAAGTTATATAATGTCACAATCCAATGTTACTGCAGTAAAAAAAATCAAATCAAATCAAAAAAAAAAAAAGAGGCCAGAGAACCAGCTCACCCTCATTCCATCACATGAGGATGCAAGAAGTCAGCAGTCTGCAACCTGGAAGAGGGCTCTCACTGGAACCCAACC